GTTCAACACTGGCTGACTCCCATGGAACAGGTTTGGGGTGGTCCAAACCCGGCAGATCCATTCCATCAACATGACGTTTGTGGAATGAGGGACTGATCCTAGGACTCAATGCCATGCCAACCCTTAACCTGCCTGCTGCTGTCAATCAAGATTTGGCCTGATTCTATCCCATCAAAGTTGTACAGTATGGTTATTTTGCTGCTCTCATGGGTCTCATGTATACATCTGTAGTATTTGTGGGAGAAACAGAACCTACAGGGTTAAGAGGTTCTGTGTGACGTCTTGCATCATGAGGCGTGGTCACAGACACTTACGGGAGTGGTTTGCTCTGAGTGTCTCAGTCTGCCTCTGGTACGTTATGCGAGAGGGAGGATGGGCGAGCTTTCGCCAGGATTTGATTTATGCTGTTACTCTACTTGATTAAAGGCTAAGAAGATAAGGAAAGCCTTGTGTCTGTTCTGAGTTTTTTACCCACACGCTGCGTTTTGCTTCAACTGCTGCGATTGCTCTGCTACCGGCTAGAGAGGCAGAAGAACTTTTGGAGCGGCACGGATAGTTAGCAAAGTTGCGCAATGGAAGTGTGCCAGACGCCATGATTGGCCTGTCTCGTCTCTTTTGGCCTCTTGGCCGGCATAGGTTATGGGTGTTTGCCAACACTTTGAAGCTTTGCAGCAACGTCCCACGTGTGGGGGAAGCCAGCAAGCCGGCTGAAAGGTTGCTGGGACCAGCTGGAGCCCTGGAGCTTTTTCTTTGATGCTGAGAGGAGCTCGCTGGGAAGGAGGAGCCGATCTGCCGGAGGCCGGAGGAAGCTGCTGCCAGTCGTGAGTACGCTTACCCCGGGGGAGGAGATGGCTCAGTCCCAGGAACATGGCTTTGAGCTTAAGCTGCCATGTGCAAAGCTGACCAGCCAAACGTGGCTAGAGTGGAGTTATTTAGCAGAGTTGTTCTTAGTCGGAGCCAGGCTCTGGGAAATGGTCCAGCCACCAGCTGGGGCGGTTGCAGACCAACGTGAAGCTGAGAAGCGTGTGCTTACGTTTTTGGCTGAGAACGTGGCTGATGATCTGAAGTCTATTGTTCTGGGTGCCAGGAAGCCAGAGGCCACTTGGCTAGCGCTCCAGGAAGCCTGTGAGGCTGGAGGCGGAAGCAAGGGCCGGGAGATGGCTGCATCAGAACAGGAAAGGCAAGATGGCGCTGACCACCTTCGTGAGAGCCGGTGCACAGCTGGGGAAAGCTGTGGGGCCCCAGAGGGGGGCGAAGGGACTATTGCCACTGCTGCTGTTGCTGCCAGTTTTGCAGAGTCTAAAAGCTGCGTGGGTGCTGCAACATGTCTGCGTGAGGAGCTGGGAAAGCGGCAAGCTGCTGGGAGCCCTTTACCCACCAGAAGGGGTGCAGGAAAGTGTCCTGGGAGCCCTGTGAGAAGTGGGGGGGCGGTGAGCAGTAAAAGCTCAGAGAAGCCTCTTTTTCCAAAGGCTGCCAAGTGTTGTTTGCATCGTAAGCCGAAGCCTGAGAAGCCGGATAGAGCTGAAGGCTTCAAGGCCAGCCACCTGCTGCAGAGGGAGATAAGTGCTGCAGAGCTGTCTGGGAACGTTGAGATAAGTCCAGTCTTCAGGGCAACTGAAAGGGTTACGGTCACGGAAGCTGCCAAGGACAGGAGCAGCAAGACGTTTGTTGCCATGGCAACGCTACAGGACAACTCCAGCAGGGACACAGCTGTGCAGTGGGTGGTTGATTCAGGAGCCAGTCATCACTTGGCGCCACCTGCTGGGGGCTGCGGAATTGCAGGGCTGTTTCAGCTGGAATGACTGTTACGTTCGCGGATGGGACACAAAAGCCAGTTTCTGCTGTAGCTAAAATCTATCTTCCCTTTTTACAGGCGGAGCTAGAGGTCTACGTTGTGCCGGAAATGCATTGTTGCCTGTTATCTGTACCTGCTCTTGTGAAGCAGGGATACAAAGTTTGCTTTGAAAATGATGCCTGTTCCATTTTCAGAGGGGGGAGACAACTTGTCAACATGGAAAGCAAGAACAATCTCTTTGTTCTGGAATCACCTCTGGAGGGTGGTGGGAAACACCGGAAAAGCACAGGCGCAGTGTGCTAGTGTTCCCAGTCATGATTCATGTGTTCATGTATAGCACAAGAGAATGTCCCATGCTTGTTTGGAGGATGTTAAGAGGTTGCCCAGCTGCACCAAAGGTTGTAAAATCACACCATGTGAGGGATCCCTAGAGTGCAGGGCATGCAGAAAGGTTCAAAGGTGCAGTTTTCCCGGGATAAAGAGGGTAACCACAAAACCTTTTGAGCTGGTTCACACAGACCTTGCAGGACCCATGAAGTGTGAGAGTCTGGGTGGGGCCAGGTTTCTGTTGACGGTGACAGATGATTTTTCTCAGAATTCATGGTGTTTCTCTCTCAAATCACAGGGGGAGGCGGCGCAACTGATCCAGGATTGGGTTGCAGAGGTGGAACTAAGGTTCTCCACCAAGGTGCAAGGGTTCAAGAGCGACCGAGGGTCAGAGTTTACTGGGTCTGCTCTGAAGGAGTTTTTCAAGCAAAAGGGAATACGTCACCAGGTGACGGGTGCAAAGTCTCCTCAAGAGAGAGGCGTGGCAGAGCACAGGAGTGAAACACTGGCTGAAGCTGTCAGGGTTTTGCTGTGTGACTCTGGGCTGCCTCAGAGCTTTTGGAGTGAAGCTTGGAAATTTGCCAGCTTTGTTTTTAACAGGTCCTACAATCACGCTGTAGGTGACACACCATTTTTTCTGTTGCACAAGCAAAAGCCACAGGTGCATTTCTTCCGTTCGTTTGGTTCAAGGGCTTCAGTACCAATACCAACAGCACAACGGGAGGAGGGTGGTCCAAGGTACCAGGACATGATCTTCTGTGGGTATGATCCTGCAACAAATGGGTGGAAGTTTGCATACCCAGAGGGTGATCAGACCAAGCTGCTGGTCAGCAAGCATGCTGAGTTCTGTGAACAGGGTGGTTGGTCACGGCCTAGGGATGGTCCTGATTTTCTCTCAGAATGCCTGTCTGATTCTGAGGAGGAAGGAGAGCCAGAGGCTGAACCTGAGGATGGTGAAAATGAGGACCAGGTCCAGGATCAGGGTTCAGGGCAGGTTTGGGCGTCTCCAAGAGTTGTTAAAGGAGTGTCCAAGAGCGAGCCTTCATCTCCTGTTAGCATAATGGAGAAAGCTCACAGACGGGTCGTCAAGTCAGAGGGGGAGGAGTCTGACGGAGAAGACACACTTGCTGGCCCCAATGGGTCAGAGGGAAGTTCAGATGAAGCACCCCAGTTTGTGCCCAGGCGTTCATCTCGGACAACAAAGGGTGTTCCACCTGAGAGGTTTCAGGTCACCAGTGCGTGGGTTGGTTTCGCACAGTGTGATTCTGGGAGTGTTGAAGGGGTTCAACAGGTGCCTGGGAAAGATGCCAGGAAAAGGCAAAAGGCAATGGGGAAGGTGTTGAACTCAAAGAGGTCTGTAAAGAGGTGTGCACAGGTCCCCTCAGGATGCAAGACGAGAGGGGGTGTGGGAGAAACAGAACCTACAGGGTTAAGAGGTTCTGTGTGACGTCTTGCATCATGAGGCGTGGTCACAGACACTTACGGGAGTGGTTTGCTCTGAGTGTCTCAGTCTGCCTCTGGTACGTTATGCGAGAGGGAGGATGGGCGAGCTTTCGCCAGGATTTGATTTATGCTGTTACTCTACTTGATTAAAGGCTAAGAAGATAAGGAAAGCCTTGTGTCTGTTCTGAGTTTTTTACCCACACGCTGCGTTTTGCTTCAAGTGCTGCGATTGCTCTGCTACCGGCTAGAGAGGCAGAAGGACTTTTGGAGCGGCACAGATAGTTAGCAAAGTTGCGCAATGGAAGTGTGCCGGACGCCATGATTGGCCTGTCTCGTCTCTTTTGGCCTCTTGGCCGGCATAGTATTTCACTATATATTTCTATTATATTTCACTATATATTTCATCTAATGGATCAGATTTATGCATCTGAACAAAATGAATATTTCAATGACATAATATTAATACATTCACCTCATTATGCCCAGGATAATAAATATTCAAAGAAATCTGGAAGTTAATGTATCATTTCATTTCTTCAGACATGGACCATTGCTTCAAATGCCCAGATCAATTTTCAAACAAGGATTGAGTTCAATGCATTCCCAAGAACCCAATTTTCTCTCATTCTCAGAACCTATGGGGATCACTTGATATTTTTTGGCTCTGCCTTTTTTTCCGAGTTTGGCTTTGGTGCTGGAGTCTTCCCTAAGCACTGGAATGCTCCCATTGTCAAAGCCAGAATTCGGACCTCACCTACATTCTGCTCTTCCTCCCTGATGCTCTGCTTTCTCTGCTCCTTGCTGTTCCTTGGTTGGCCTTACATAGTAACCTACTAAACAGGACAAACTGCATTTGGAATAACCCTCTTGGTGGTGGTTTCATGGATATGAGCAATAACGATAATGGTGGTTATGGCTTTCATGGCCACCAAACCAGGATCCAGGATGAGGAAATGGGTGGGGGAAAGACTGACCAACTCTATTTTTCTTGGCTGCTCAGTCATTCTTTGTGCTATATGGCTCTTTATTGCTCCCCCACTTCCAAGCTTTGTCATGCACTCTTGAGCAGAAGAAATAATAGTGGAATGGAATGAATGGTGTCCTATAATGATTTATTGGGTCTAGGGGGCTTGGGACTTCTGACCATTGCCAGATCTATTGAGGCTTTCCTTACCAGGAATATTTAGCCCCAACATATTATAAAACCACAGTAAAACATTAAACATTAAAAACTAATGAAAATAATAAGGAGTTGTCAGGCAGTTTCAATGAAGCTCTGCTCTTCACTCTTGTCACAGCCTTGGCCCTTGGCGTCTTCTCTAAGAACGGGGACACTCCCATTGTCAAAGCCAACAACCGGGACCTCACCTACACTCTGCTCCTTGCCCTCTTGCTCTGCTTCCTCTGCTCCTTGCTCTTCATTGGCCAGCCTCACCCAGTGAGCTGCTCTTTACGACAAACGGCCTTTGGCATCATCTTCTCCATTGCGGTGTCTTGTGTCTTGGCCAAAACCTTCATGGCCACAAAACCAGGATCCAGGATGAGGAAATGGGTGGGTGTCGGGGACTGGGTAAAAGAAGTGGTGGAGACCGCCTGCCCCTCCTGACCGTTCCAGGGAGAAAGGAAGAGGAAACAGTATAGATTTGCAACAGGGGTTTGTGGGAGGTCACAGCTCACAGGCAGATGAGGGGAAAAGTTGGGAAATAATGGGAGATCCAGAGCAGCAGCTGGCTGACATGTTGTCACTAGAAAGCATCCCAGACCCTCCATCTCCCAGAACCTGATGATCTTTAAAAGTAGAGGAGCACAGAGCTCAAAGACAGAGGGCACATAGCAGCACCCGTAGAGAAGGTGATGATGATGACCAATGAGAAAGTGGGAGATGGAGGGGTGGAGATTCACACGGGACAATACCATTATCCAAGAGGATGGGTTCCATAGCCTCTCTCTGTAAAGTTTGAAATAAAAAAGACTGTAAGAAACTTTCCCTTGTCTTTATACTTTCCTGGGCAACCAGCCAGGAGCTGCTGACAGCATCCAGACAGTGCGGAAATATCTCGCAAGCTCTGTTCTTCCTGGTTGCTGCTCAGTTCAAACCAGTATTTGTGCTGTCTGGCTGTGCACCTCTCCTCCCAAACATGCTCTCTTTTGGGCAGCCATTTTAAACCAAAAGTTTGGGTTTGGGGGAAGGCGTGACTTGGGTCCAGGTTTGGGCCCCGGGGTCTGGCACAGCTGTGGGTGGTTTGGGTTTGGTGGGGGCGGGGGTGAGTGGGTGACCACTGAAAAGAAGCTCAACAATTTGGGGGCTCAACAAATGTCCAGATTTTTACTTCTTGAAATGCGGCAACCCTAGGTTATATATATGCCAGTTGCAACCCAACTTCTAATTTAAGAAAAAATGATAATTAAAAGGCTGAAAGCCAAACAAAAAGCATGTGGGGGCCCACCTTTCCCTATCTGATTTCCCTGTACAGTGGTACCTCGGGTTACAGACGCTTCAGGTTGCAGACTCCGCTAACCCAGAAATATTACCTCAGGTTATGAATTTTGCTTCAGGATGAGAACAGAAATCGTACGGTAGTGGCATAGCGGCAGCGGGAGACCCCATTAGCTAAAGTAGTACCTCAGGTTAAGAACAGTTTCAGGTTAAGAACGGACCTCCAGAACGAATTAAGTTCTTAACCCGAGGTACCACTGTATGAGTTTCCAGCGCATTTAACTGAATTGCTTCTTTGATGCTTCTAGATCCAGCCTAAGAGCACTCAGCTGGGGGCAGCATGCTTGCATGCGACACTCACAATTACCAGGTCACCATTCAATAACAAATACATATGACTATTTTGCTCTTACTGTTTTCCCTTACAGAGCACAATACTCTAAGGAAAGCACTTTGGAACAAGTGCTAATTATTTCAAAATGCGGGTTTCATCATCTTGCCAAATCCCACATATATTCTATCAGGCCATAAACACAAGGTGTATATAAAATAAACCCTGTGTTATTCAGAGCCCCAGTGAGAAATTCTGAACACACAGGTTTTCATGGATCAAATCTTTGGCACATCCCCTTTATCAAAATAACCCAGTGCCATTAAACCTAATGCAATTCATGGTGGATGAGAGAGAAATCTGTCTTTCTGCATAACTGTTGGTCAAGATAAAAAAAAATTCCTTCCAGTAGCACCTTAAAGACCAACTAAGTTAGTTCTTGGTATGAGCTTTCGTGTGCATGCACACTTCTTCAGATACACTGAAACAGAAGTTGCCAGATCCTTCTATATAGTGAGAAGGTGGGGAGGGGTATTACTCAGAGATGAGAGGAACATTTCTGCTGCTGCTCCTTCTCTTCCTGTGGCTCCAGATGCCTCCAACTGAGTGCAAGGAGGACTCTGAGAGATGTGCCATGACGGATCCATTCCAGCTTCCATACCAGTATTATCAGAGAGGGGACCTAATCATTGGAGGAATTGTTAATACTTGTGGCTATTTTTCTGAAGATATAGATTTCCAGGACCACCCAAAGACAAAGTTTACAGATGAACTTTAGTAAGGATATCACTCTCACCTTCATAATGTACATTTCTCTTTGCTACAGCTACACTACACAAACCATGGCATGCTCAGAAAATATTTTCATATGACTTTTTCCAAGTATAAAGGTTAAAAATACATTTTCTCCTATTGTGATCATGGCATCATCTTCTGTGTTGCTTTATTCCTCATCTAGAAGTTTCTGTCTTCTGCCTCTTCTGCTTTCTCATCACTTGATCTCATGTTTCTCAGCTGATCTCATGCTTGATCCTCTTCCTCCCTCTGTGTTTCCTTTCCCACCATCATTTAATCTGACAGCCATAGATGCTCTGATATCATAGATTTTGGATTATATTCCTTGCTATACAATGTAAACAATACCGTGTAATTAAAACACCAGTGTTGCAATCTTCTTCTTTTTCTTTGCAAATTAAAGGGTTATATCTAATGGACTTGTATGCAGAGTAGGCCCACTGAAATTAATACAACCATCCTCCTGCCCAGCAGCTGCATACAAGAAGCAATTGCTGTTTGCTTTAGTAACCTGTGAGAAGACATGATTTAGTGCTCCAGTGGTCCACCTCCAGATAAAAAACTAACTTATGTACATGTGTATCTTGCAGGTTGTGAATGTTCTGCTCAAAATTAAACACCTGTTGGATGCTCTATTTCTAAAGCTGACTGAATACTATCCATGGGTTTCAATTATCAACTGTTAGGTCACACAATGCATATGATATACAATTAAATTGGCTTTTTGATCCGAATATATTGCTTGAATCCCTTTCCTAAAATTTTCATCAAAGTTCATTTTCTCTAGAACTTTTTTCATGAATTTTCATGAGACATTATCAAACACTTTCTCAGCATCTAAAAACATCAACGCTGCCTGGTTTTTATTTCTTACTTCCAGGTATTCTATAACATCTATAATATTTCTGATATTGTTCTTTATTTGTCTACTTGGAAGAAACCCTGCCTCACTGTCCATGGGTTTCAATTATCAACTGTTAGGAGACACAGTGCATATGTGTTGTTTGCTTATTTGTTTTATTTAATCTTTTGGAATTTGCCTGAAAAAGCCAGGAAGTAAGCTATATGCTTAAAAAGTAGAGGAGAATATCTCTGACATATAGTATACCTCTTTTATTAGTGGAGCACCAAAGTACTACCAGAATACCCTCTCCCTGGTGTTTGCTGTGAAAGAAATCAATGAGAACCCTAATATCGTACCGAATATGAGCTTTGGGTTCCACCTCTATGATAGCTATTTAAATGCAAGGATGACTTATCAGAACACCTTGAAACTTCTGTCCACCACAGAAAGGATTGTCCCCAACTTCAAATGTGACAAGAAAAGAAATATGATAGCTGTTATTGGAGCACTTGACTCTGACATCTCCCTTCACATGACTACAATCTTAGGCATCTACAAGATCCCACAGGTATAGTGAGTGTGTGGGCAGTGGAGCTTTTCTGCCTCTGGTACAATAATTCTCTTCCGGGTTCTCCATACTTTCTTTTACTTTGGTTCCCTTTTCTGAAAAAGAAGAAAGAGAGAAAAATATATTACTGATAGAACAGCATCTGATTTGCTCATTTTTTCCTCGTAAAACTTCCTACCTGGAAAGATAAAGAGTTCTCACTGTTACTCATGGTGTCCATATACAGTTGTGGCTGTAGGGGAAGGGCTTGGATGACTGCCTGACCTCCTGTCACTTGTGTCCCTGAAGCTTGTCTGGAAGTAGAGGGGGATTGGGAAGCGGGAGGAAGGTTAGTACAGTGCCAATGCACCAGTAGGAGTTCCCCTTCTCCCAGTGAGCTGCATTTTGGTTCAGAAATGCTGCCCATCTGACTGAGTTTCCCCAGCCACTCTGGTCAGCTCCCAACAAAATAAAACAAGTAAATTTGTACAACAATTTGAAGCGAATTTCTCCCTGTTCCTGGAATTGTCTCATCAGAAATGGCTGTTGCTTGTCCATATGTTGCTCACTAGCCTGAGCCACTATAGCTCAATGGCCAAGGATGACCACTTGGACTTGGAGTTCAGGAAGTTCTGGGGGGCCATAGGTTCCTCACTCATGAAATAAAACATGATGTGGAAAAGGGTTTCTGGACAGACAATCCACCCACACTTTCATTGAGCTTTATTTCCTTCCTTCCAAAGTTGCAGAACTTGCAGGAAGATGTCGAGATCTTGTGCTCCTTTAGTGGGGTTCTTCATCTTCCCAAGTAGTTGGAGTCAAGATAGGTAAAATACCCCATGGAGAGGGGGGATGCAAAATAATCTGAATATCATCAGGCCTGTTGCAACACTTTGTTTTATGGCAACAAGGATAAGACAGGCTGCAGTTACAGGGATGGCTGCCGAATGAATACAGATTTTAACCTCCAGAATACAGATTTAATCCAAAGGAATGTTACCTAATTTAAATAAATTTATAGGGAATTTTTTTATTACATCAGCTTCTTCATGTGGATGTGGCATATGCTGCTTTTGTTAACTTTGCTGTCTAGTCTTTGACCACAATAAAGATTGATTGATTGATTGATTGATTGATGATTGATTGATCGATCGATCTATGGGGGGGGGGTTGCAAAATAATAAACCACTGAAGAATAAAATGAATATTCCTCAAATGTCTGCTGCTTTCCATGAAATTAGTTGACATTATCTATGAAACCGAATTAGTTAATCAAAAGGATGATTTTGGGAGGAAATTGACATTATTGTTGGCATTAGGGAACAAAAGATTTGAGCATTTCATCCTCATAGATCTAATATAACTTAAGAAATATTTCACTTTCTACATAATTCATTGTAAATGATAAAACTGACCAAGATGTCATTGATGCGTAATGAATTCAGTGTTTTATGTTATAACACCTCCAAAACAAGGAACTTGTGCTTACAGCCAGTGTGGTGTAGTGGTTAAGAGCGGTGGACCCGTAATCTGGTGAACCAGGTTCGCGTCTCCACTCCTTCACATGCAGCTGCTGGGTGACCTTGGGCTAGTCACACTTCTCTGAAGTCTCTCAGCCCCACTCACCTCACAGAGTGTTTGTTGCGGGGGAGGAAGGGAAAGGAGAATGTTAGCCGCTTTGAGACTCCTTCGGGTAGTGATAAAGTGGGATATCAAATCCAAACTCTTGTTACATTCATTCAAATTCCTCCGATATGCAGAATCTAAAGAATATATTTTTACCTTCAATGAATTCACTCAGGTTCCACTTGCATGGGATGAATCCTAACTGTTTGCTATAACTCTCCCATTTTTGTGAGATTGATTTCTTCCTTAGATTGCTTATTGTGCATTAGCTCCAGTGAGGAGGACCGAGTTGCATCTCCAAACCTTCTTCCGGACGGTGCCCAATGAGAAATATCAATATGCAGGGATTGTCAAGCTACTTCTTCATTTCCAATGGACGTGGGTTGGACTTGTTGCTTCAGATGATGAAAATGGAGAGAAGTTTATGCAAATCTTAGGGCCAATGCTTTCCCAGCATGGAGTCTGCACAGCCTTCAAGGAAAAAATACCAGCCATATCACAAGGGATGGATCATTTCATTTCACTGGATCCCATTCGGGCTAAGTCCTCTTCCCTGGTGATCTCAGAAGTCAATATATTGGTTGTATGTGCAGAATCTCAGACCATCATAGTTGTGAAGTGGTTGAAATATTTCTTTTCATTATCTGAAGATATTGCAGAGAATTCAGCAGGCACAGTGTGGATTTTGACAGCCCAATGGGCTTTCTCATCAGATACATTGCAAAGGTATTATGATATTCAAGTCTTTGATGGTGCCCTGTCTTTTGCAATTCACACAGAAATAGTTCAGGGATTTAAAGAATTCCTTCAGACTCTAAACCCCAACTCTCCAAATGGAGATGGGTTCCTCCAGGCTTTTTGGGAACAGGCATTCAACTGCTTATTTTCTGTTTCCAATGACCCCAATGAAAGCACAGACACATGCACTGGCAAAGAGAGTCTGGAGAGCCTTCCTGGGCATACTTTTGAAATGATCATGACTGGTCAAAGTTACAGCACCTATAATGCAGTTTATGCTATTGTATATACTTTGCACAAGATTCTCTCATCCAGACCAAAACACAGAATGACGTCAGGCAGAGGTGGACTCGATCCTTCAAATCTGCAACCTTGGCAGGTAAGATTTCATATTCGGAATAAATCTTTGCTTGGTGCTAAACTAATGGGTGAAGACACACCGTCCATAGACTGAATACACATGGAAGAAAAACATCTCTTACAGCATTTACCTTTCCCACACAAAACAAATGTTCTTTTCGGTGCTTCCCTGTTTTCCCTTGCCTTCAAGTTGGAGCCAGAATCAATATATTCCCTGTTCTTCCCCTTTAAGTTGCAGAGGTGGAAGTATCTCCTCCTGCACTTCCTCTCACAGAAATGCCCCCTCTTTGTAGAACTCAAGAATGTTGTGGAAGGAGCTGCGTGTTCTGCTGTCCTATGTGTTTGTGATGCTGATATGTCAGGAGTGGTGGAGAAGGAGGCATGTTAAAGTGGGACTCATGTTGTGTTAATATCAGAAAGATGGTATGTTTTTATCCAGGAAGAACCTCTCCAGAACATTCCTTCAGCAGCATCTCATCCCCTTCCCCTTGCCCTCCCAGAAGGTCTTCCTTTCTTACCAGGCCCTCAGCAAGTCCAGGGAGGGCCCTGGGTGTGCAGCCCTCGCTCTTGCTTGCTGGGCTTCCCTCCCAGAGCTAGGTGAGCAAGGCCTAGGGATTCCATGCCAGCCTCAGGGAAGGAGACACAAGGCCAAAGGGCGCCTCCAAGGGGCCAGGAAAGAAGGTGCCTCCTTGCTTCCCAGGCAGTAGGGAGGTCATGACAGGGCTCTGGGAGCATCCCAGGGCCCTCCTGCAACCTTCCCAGAGCCCAGGAAGCCCCTCTCCACCTTGTGGATGGCAGTTGCAGGGGTTGCTGACCTTGCATGATTTTGCCTCTGCACATGGATCCTCTGAGCTGAACGTTTAAATACTTAAGTTCCAGGTCAACTGTACTTCCCAGAAATCTGTATGTGCTCCAAAGGTGGACCACCCCATTTTTTACTGCTTTCCATTGTGTGACATATATTGATTGATACTTTTCATATGCCTTGTTTTATTCTGTCTAGCTTCCCTCTTTCCTGAGGAGCATCTCCTTCAACAACAGTGCTGGGGACTTTGTGTCTTTTGATGAGAATGGGGAATTGGCAGCTGGATTTGACGTTATTAACTGGGTTACTTTCCCCAACCAAACCTTCTCACGAGTGAAAGTAGGAAAGATAGAATCACAGGAATTGCACTATTCCTACTTCAGCATGGATGAAGAAGCCATCACATGGCACAAAGCATTCAATCAGGTGGGAGTAGACTCTTGGTTTTCTAAAAAGGGACCATTTTTATTAATATTAAGAATATAAATTCAAGAATAAGGTCTCATATTAATAACATTCTTAAGTTCAGTTACTGCATGAAGGGATTACTACAAGAGAGTAAGATCTCCTGCCAGGCTTAGCTAGGTCACATTAATGTAAGAGGGAAAGTAAAGGGAAGGTCAAAGACCTCTGGACAGTCACGTGCAGTCAACAGCTTTGCAGGTCATGTAGGCAGCATGACTAAATTGTTTCTGGCGCAATGGAATACTATTTACCTCCCCAATGCAGTGCTACCTATTTATCTAACGATATTGCATTTCAAAAGTTTTCCCCTCAGTGTATAGCAAGCAGTGAATTTCATATTGGTTTTCCAGAGGTTTCCCCAATCCTTCATTAAGATATTATAGCCAAACTCCTGAGCCCATTTTGTCATTTACCTCCTCCTCCTAGACTTCCCAGTCAATGAGGAGATGTACATTTTGGAAAGTATTTTAGCTTTTGAATTAATCAGATCATTCTCTAATCTAGATGGTTCTATTGCAAATTCTTTTCTTTTATCTACTTTAAATGTCTCATACAATTGATGGTATTGGAGTCAATTGGAGCCTTATGTATATGCTTCCTGCTTTGCCTTCTCTGTCAACTCCCTGGATTTCAGAATCAGTGGTCTTTCCCTGTCCTCTTTCCAGCCACCATCTTATACAGATGAAATATTCAATTTCCCTTCCCCTTGATTCCCAATATTTATAAGGCAATTTATTCACACATAAACCACGTTTCTGGAATAACATAAATCTGCCAAATGATCTCATCTCTTTGGTTCAAACTGTGTTCTTTACCATGCAAAAGGGAGCTTCCTTTTCTCCTCTTTTTCCACTAGGTGCTGCCCCTTGGTTTGTGCAATGATCGGTGCCAGCCAGGCTACAGCCGGAAAAAGAAGGAGGGGCGGCCATTTTGTTGCTATGACTGTGCTTCATGTCCAGATGGGATGATTTCAAATCAAACAGGTAGGAGACATCAGCTGCTCTTTTATAAAATGCTTCCTAGTCTATTTCAACAGTTTCCCCTTAATAACAGTTCAGTACTCACTCCTAAACAGAACAGCAGTTGCACGCAGATCTGGAAGAAAGAAGACAGACACAGAGAGTTGGGCAAACTAAAGCCACATCTTTAATCTTTTCAAAGTAGATCTGTGGGAATAGGTGTGGATCATGTCCAGTGTTCTCTGCCTGCTCCCCACCTGCCACAGCTTGCGGAGTCAGTGAAGACTTGCCTAATCTTCCATCCCCATAGTTTGGCTCTTCCAATGGCCCCATATTAACAGTTGTCAATACTTTGCTTCCTAAATTCCTGGTGATTTGAATGATACCACCTATATGGTTTATGAAGAAAAAATACCCGTTGCATTTTACTGGTTTCCACTTAAATCTGATACTTGTTTCCAACTAATTAATGGCTCAGTATTATGTTTTGGGAGCAGAAGCAATAGTTCTTTCAAAAGAAAATTGAAATGCTATTGGAATTGGAGGACTGCATTTCATTACAAAAAAAGGTTGCCTTGTTTATTCAAACTCCTATATCATTTATTTGATTTTTAAGATACAGATAATTGTTTCAAATGCCAAGAAGGACAATTTCCAAACCACAACAGAGATCAATGCATTCCCAAGAGGCAAAATTTCCTTTCCTACGCAGAGCCTTTGGGATTCACATTAGCTGCCTTGGCTCTGCTCTTTGCTCTGGTCACAGCCTTGGTCCTTGGCGTCTTCTCTAAGAACGGGGACACTCCCATTGTCAAAGCCAACAACCGGGACCTCACCTACACTCTGCTCCTTGCCCTCTTGCTCTGCTTCCTCTGCTCCTTGCTCTTCATTGGCCAGCCTCACCCAGTGAGCTGCTCTTTACGGCAAACGGCCTTTGGCATCATCTTCTCCATTGCGGTGTCTTGTGTCTTGGCCAAAACCATCACGGTGGTTCTGGCCTTCATGGCCACCAAACCAGGATCCAGGATGAGGAAATGGGTGGGGAAATCTCTGGCCAACTCTGTTCTTCTGGGTTGCTGCTCACTTCAAGCCAGTATTTGTGCTGCTTGGCTCTGTACGGCTCCTCCCTTCCCAGATGTGGACATGAACTCTCTGGCGGAGGAAATCATTGTGGAATGCAACGAAGGCTCTGTCCCCATGTTTTATTGTGTCCTGGGGTACCTGGGATTCCTGGCCAGTGTCAGCTTCACTGTGGCTTTCCTGGCCAGGAAGTTGCCCGACAGTTTCAACGAAGCCAAGTTCATCACTTTCAGCATGTTGGTGTTCTGCAGCGTTTGGCTGTCCTTTGTTCCCTCTTATCTGAGCACCAAAGGAAAACAGATGGTGGCTGTGGAGATCTTCTGCATCTTGGCCTCCAGTGCAGGCCTGCTTGCTTGCATCTTCTCCCCAAAGTGTACATAATCCTTCTGAGGCCCGACTTGAACAGCAAAGACCACTTGATTCTGAGGAGGAAATAAGAGCCAACTTGCGTTGATCCCTTTAATTGTTGCATTATTACAAATGCAGACATTTGTTGGAATAAAACCAGCCAAGAAAATCCCTTGTGTGTCCCAATTCTTATCTTTTTTCATGCTATGCTTTAAGAGTAAAGTATATGAAAATCATATATCGATTGTATCTAACACCAAGTAAACTTTCAAAAATGTTTAAAACTATATCAAATAAGTGTTGGAAATGTAAAGAGAAAGTAGTTTCTTTTTGTCATATGTGGTGGTCTTATTGGATAAGGTTAAGGCTTACTGGGAAATGATATACAATAAATTGAAAACTATGTTTAAAATAACATTTGTAAGAAAAAAACAGAAGCCTTTCTCTTAGTAATTATAGGGACAGAACTACCTAAATTGTATATAAATTTATTCATGTATTGTAATGTAATATGTGTAAACCAGTAAATAAAATAAAATACATTAATTATTATTATTATTATATATTATTATTATTATTATTATTATTATTATTATTAATATTATTATTATTATTTATTTATACCTCACCCATCTGGCTGGGTAAAATAACATTTGTAAGAAAAAACCAGAAGCCTTTGTCTTATAGGGATAGAACTACCTAAATTGTATAGAAATTTATTCATGTATGTGACTGCAGTGGCAAGAATATTACTTGCCCAAAATGGAAGGAAAAAGTCCCGACAAAAGAAGAATGGATGCAAAGAAGTTATGTACTGTGTAGAAATGGCAAAACTTACCAGAAGAAATCAAGATAGCAAACTTTTTATAAAATAATGGAAATTGTTTAATGAATATTTACAGATAAATTGTAAACAGTTAAAAACACTGGCAGGATTATTGTAATAACCTGCAGTTACATAAGAGTATATGTATATAAAGAAGATAAATAAATAAGTTAAGTTAATTTGTATATGCAGAAGATATTAAAAATAAATTAAGAAACAGCAGAAAGAGGGGGAAGTCAAGTTTTAAAATGTCAAAATGACTGTAAAATCAGTGAAATGTATATATCTGAAAAGTATAAATAACATTATTTTTAAAATCTTATCTTTTTAATACTCAGTGTTTTCACCCCTCTCTTGTGATTGTCTATTTATTTACAGCATTTTTCAAAAACTGTGCTCAAAGTGGTTTACACAAATGGGATCCTCTTTAGGGAGGGTCCTGGTTGTGTACGGGCCCCTGAGACACCCCCACCAGGTTAGGGTTCCTGGGGCTGTTCCAGCCCTTGTACTTTGGCCCCCTCAATCACACCAGGCCTTTGACCCAATCGTAGCAAGTGGTGTGATCATGCAGTTTTTAGAATTCCGGTTTCCTTTCTCTAATAATCTGGTCAATCAGAAGTTAGTTAAGGAAATGCCTGAGGTGGCCAGGAGGAAAGTGGCAAAGGAGTTTTCTTTGGGGTGGATGGCCCGGCCCCTTTGATGCTCCTCCTATTCCCAATTTGTATTTATCCCCTTTAGGGATTATTCCTAAAAACGTCTCAGGCGAATATGGCCTCATTCACAATTTGTCTTATCCTAGAGGAACGTCATTGAATGATGCCACTCCAGGGGAGCTCTGTTCCATCAAGTATGCAACATTTGATCAGGCAGTTAAACTTATTATGTGTTCTGGCAAGGGAGCATTGTTGGCAAAGTGTGATGTGGAACCTGCCTTTCGCTTGCTCCCAGTTCATCCTTCAGATTTTCACTGGCTGGGATTGAAATTTGAAGGGGCCTACTATGTCGATAATGGGACACGGGTGGCGCTGTGGGTTAAACCACAGAGCCTAGGACTTGCTGATTAGAAGGTCGGCGGTTCGAATCCCCACGACGGGGTGAGCTCCCGTTGCTCGGTCCCTGCTCCTGCCAACCTAGCAGTTCGAAAGCACATCAAAGTGCAAGTAGATAAATAGGTACCGCTCCGGCGGGAAGGTAAACAGCATTTCCGTGCGCTGCTCTGGTTCGCCAGAAGCGGCTTAGTCCTGCTGGCCACATGACCCGGAAGCTGTACGCCGGCTCCCTCGGCCAATAAAGCGAGATGAGAGCCGCAACCCCAGAGTCGGTCACAACTGGACCTAATAGTCGGGAGTTCCTTTACCTTTACCTTACTATGTCGATAAATCAATGCCTATAGGATGCTCAGTTGCCTGTGCCGCCTTGGAGGCATTTAGTACATTCGACCCTTCATTTTAGATCTGGTCTAACGGGGGTGACCCATTACTTTGATGATTTTTTTTATTGGCCAGATCCGCAAGTACTTCTGACTGTGCAACTTTACTTGTGGTGTTCACCGCATTGGCACTGGAGTTGGGACTCCCGCTAGCAGACAAAAAGACTGAAGGACCTTCTACCAAATTAATTTATCTAGGAATAGAGCTTGACACGATCCTACAGACATCTAGGTTGCCGGACGCCAAATTGCTGGCCCTTAAGACCCTTATTACTCAGCTGCTACCCCTTAGGAAGATGACACTTAAGCAAATTCAATCTTTATTAGGGCATTTGAATTTTGCTTGTAGCATGGCGTGGGGGCCGCACCGGGCGCAACATCTGGGGGGGGCGAGTCCAGAGGGCCCAGCCCTGTCATGCCCTCGGCCCGCCCCTATTGTCAGAGCGGCCGGCCAGCCTCCGCCTGCTCCTACCTTGCCCACCCGAGGACTGCGGCAGCGCCCGCCCCTGTGGCCACCTACCCCCGCCTCGCCCATTGGCTTGCCTCCCTCGGCCCCGCCTCTCTCCGATGGCCGCGGGGGTGTCCTGCTCGGCGCCGGCGCCTTTTTTCAGGAGGTAGGGAGGCTGGACGGGGAGGTGGGGTCGGAAGCGGGCAGAGAAGGAGGGGAGCTCGTAGCCAAAAGGGCTGCGCTGGCCGGCAAAGGGCCGGGGGAAAGTTTGGAGAGGAGAAACGCACCGTCATGATTTCCCGGTGGAAGCGGCAGGATTAGGGATGGCGAAGCGTAATTACGCACGAATTTCGCTGGGTGAGAGCTTCGGGGATCGATCGGCGGAAATGGGAATCAATTGGAATATGAGAAAGAGAGAGAGAGAGGGACCATCATTCATAGGCATAGATTTGTAGGGTTAGGGGGCGCAAATCCACGGGTTAGGGGGCGCAAATTACTTGCCTTGCCCCGGGTGCTGACAACCCACGTTACGCAGCTGGTGGCAAGTCCATCACGTGTGATCTAACCTTCCTTGAGTTTTTTCCTATTGTAATGGCCGTCCATATTTGGTCAGCTGAGTTTAGGGACCACAGGGTTTGTTTCTGGACTGACAACCAGTCGGTTGTTAGTGTGTTAGCTAAACAATCAGCACGCTCTCCACAGGTGTCATCCCTTTTGCATGTGTTTGTTTTACAGAGTTTGAGGTATAACATCGTTTTTTCTGCTAAATTTATCCCTGGCATGTCGAATGACATTGCTGATGCATTGTCTCGCTTTCAGATGGACCACTTCAGATCCCTGGCACTGGGGGCACAGACGTTGCCAGAACTTTTTTCAGATGCACTTTGGAGACATTGAAGCATATAGTGATGCGGAGAGTAGTAGCTGCCTTTGCCCCCTCTACACTTAAATCCTATTAGAAAGTTTGGCAGGACTTCCTGGTTTTTAGGGCGTGCTCTCTGGCCAGTGCTCCAGATCAGCCCCCCTCTACCTCTCAGCTGCCACAGTACCTGGCGTGCCTCTTTCAGCGGGGTCGCATGCCTAAGACACTCAATCGGCAGTGATTTCATTTTTTAGCAAGTCCCTTTTTGCTTATGTCCCGTGCGCAGATTTTCTACTGCGTAAGGCGTTGGAAGGTTGATGTCGCCTGCAGTCTTCAAAGGGCATTGCCAGGAGGCCAATCACTTTTGATCTTCTGTGCAGAATCCATAAGAAGTTAAGATTGGTGCGCCAGTCTCGTTATGAGGTGCGATTATTTTCAGCCGCATACTCAATATCATTTTTTGGTGCCCTTAGAGTAGGTGAAGCGGTGCTTGAAATGGCCCCAGGTGGGCCTCCTCAGGGTCTCCATTTGGAGGACGTTGCCTTCGGGGAGGTGGAATTGTTGGTTTTCATTTGCAGGTCTAAGACGAACCAGAGAGCTTTGGGAGCACCGCTGTGGCTTCCAGCATCAGTTCATAGGGGCCCTTGCCCTGTTAAGGATATAATAAGTTTTTTGCAAGTTAGACCTTGTGGCATGGGCCCGTTCTTAATTCATGAAGATGGGACCCCTTTGTCCAGAAACCAATTCACAAGAGTCCTGTGCAAAGCTATTCAGACCTGTGGGCTCTCACCTGGACAGTACGCAGCACATTCTTTTCAAACTGGTGCTGCCACGAATGTAGCTCATTGGGGTCTGTCGGCCAAAAAGATTAAGAATCTAGGTCGCTGGAAGTCGGATGCATACAAGGGCTAAGTTAGGTAATATCCCTTGGCAATTTATCAGTTTACTTACCTGCTTGTCATTTCTTTTCTTTTAGTGCTGCTGGCGTTGCACATTTGGATCCTTGGCCATAGTATCGTGCATTGGGCCGGCGTGTGAGCAGTAGAGACCAGCATGGGGCGCGACCTTGCTTTACCTGCTCAAGTTAAAGTCTCATGGTTCGCCAGGCGTGGGATGCTGTGGAGAGAACTGTTGCCATTGGTGATGGCTAGAGTGGCCAGTTTGGGCCCGCCGTCCACTATGATCATGCAGCTGGGTGAAAATGACTTGCCATCTTTGAGAGGCATGGACTTACGGTCCTGCATTAAAGGTCCTGCATTAAAAGGGATTTGCAGGAGCTAGCCGCATCTTGCCCCAACACAATGATTTTCTGGTCACATTTCCTGGTGGGGCGCACATGGCTGCAATTGATAATACCTGGAAGTGGGTTGACCGCAAGGTGGTGTGGAAAGTGTTGTCCTTGGGTGGCAGGGTGACCCCCCACCTAGGTATTACCTTCTCTATTGCAGCCCTGTTTAGGGCAGATGGA